AAACTGAATAAAAAAGATACAAAAATTCTGAATAATCCAATGTCAGTTAATGAAATTGAAAATGTAATAGAAAAAACTTGCCAACAAAGAAAAGCTCAAGTCCTAATGGATTCACAGCTGAACTCTACAAGTAATTTGGAGAAATTAATGCCAATACTCCTCAAACTCTTCAATGAAATTGAGAGGAAAGCAGTTCTCCATAACTCATTTCAGCAGGCAAGTATTACCCTGATCCCAAAACCAGAGAAAGGCCCAATCCTAGAAGAGAACTACAGGCCAATCTGCCTCATGAATATAGGTGCAAAAATACTCAATAAAATATTAGCAAACAGAATGCAGCAAATCCTCAAGAAGATTATACACCATGACCGAATGGGTTTCATCGTAGGGATGGTTCAACATATGCAAATCAATACATTTGATGCACCACGTCAACAGAGCAAAAGACAAAAATCACAGGATCAATAGATGCAGAAAAAGCTTTTAACAAAGTCCAACACTCATTCATGATAAAAACCCTACAGAAAATTAGAATAGATGGTGTTTACCTCAACCTGATAAAAGCCATCTATGACAAACGAACAGCTTACACCATACTATATGGACAAAACCTGAAAGCTTTCACTCTAAAATCAGGAACAAAACAAGGATGCCCACTATCACTACTCCTTTTCAACATAATTCTGGAAACATTAGCCAGAGCAATTAGACAAAATAGAGAAGTAAAAGAAATAAGAATAGGAAAAGGAGTTAAATTATCATTATTCACAGAAGACGTGATATTCTACATAGAAGACTCTAAAAATGCCACCGAAACTGAGAAAATTTTTAGTTTTATTTTAGATTTAAATATAGAAAATTCAGTGGCATAACTGGATACAAATTCAACACTCAAAAATTAGTAGTGCCAGGCATGGTGGCACACATCTGCAATCCCAGCATTCAGGAGGCTGAGGCAGGAGGATCCGTGCAAGCTCAAAACCATCCTGGGCTACAAAGTGAGCTCAAAGCTAGCTTGAATCATGTAGTGAGACCCTGTCTCAAAAATACAACAACAAAAGCAAAAGCAAGCAAACAAACAAAAAACCCTAGTAGCATTCCTATACACATACAGCAAACTCACAGAGAGAAATATTAAGAAAATAGTATATTAGCATCCAAAATAATGAAATATTTAGGCATCAATCTCACAAAGCTAGTAAAAGATCTATACATTGAAATTATAGTAGTCCGAAAAAAGATATACTCTTTGAGGATTTCAGAAAATGGAAAGATTACTTGCTCCTGGATAGGAAAAAACCAACATTGTGAAAACAGCCTTAATCCCAAAATTGTTATATAGGTTTAATGCAATCTCAATCAAAATATCATTAGTATACTTCACAGATCTAGAGAAAACATTCCTAAAATTCATTTGGAACCAGAAAAGACCTAGAATAGCAAAGGCAATACTAGGCAGCAAAGCCAAGACAGGCTTGCAATTATAATACAAAATTACTGTGATAAAATCAGCATGGAACCGGCAAAAGAACAGACCTGATGTTCAGTGAAACAGATTAGAAGGTGAAGACACAACTACAAACGCATTCAGCTACCTAATCTCTGGCAAAGGAACCAAACATGCTTACTAGAAGAAAGATAGCCTCTTTAATAAATGGTGCCCCAAAAAACTGGTTTTCTAATGCTGAGAACTAAAACTAAACCCATGTCTGTAACCATGCACTAAACTAAAGTACAAATGGATTAAAGATCTAAATATTAAAACAGAAACACTAAATCTACCGGAAGAGAAAGGTAGGAATCTTAAAGACAGGTATGGACAAAAAGTTTATGAACAAAAACCAAAGTGCATGAGAAATACTTCAAAGAATCAATATTTGTGATCTCATCTTATTAAAAAGGTTTTGCACATCAGAAGAAATGATCAACAAAGGGAAAAGAAAGCCCACAAATTGGGGAAAAAATTATCCAACTGTTTCTAAAACAAAAGACCTCTAATTTAGAATAGAAGAATTTTTAACAATCAGGCCCACAAAATTCTATGACCTAATCAAAAAAAAATGTGCATCTGAGATGACTACACATTTCTCAGATGAAGAAATACAATTGACACATAAATAAGTGAAAAATGTTCAACATCATTGTTCGTTCGAGAAATTCAAATTAAAACAACATTGAGATTCCATCTCAACCCAGAAAGAATGGCTGTCATCAAGAAGTCAACCAATAACAAATGCTGCGGGGCAGGGACCATGGGAAAAAAGGAATACTTCTTCACTTTTGGGTGTGTAGACTGATATGACCACTGTGGAAATCAGAGTGGAGATTTAAAAAAAAAAAAACACTAGGATTAGAGGTCCCATTCAATCTAGCTATTCTCCTTTTGAGTATTTTTCTGGAAGAAATGAAAACGTCTTACAACAGTGATATATGTGTGCACCCATGTGTCTAGCAGCACAATTTATAGTAGCTATCGCTTCAAAACAACCCAAAGGCCCATCAAGCAAGGAATACATAAATGTCATGTGGTCTTTTTTGAATGGAATATTACTCAGCTGTAAAGTAAGATAAACTTAAGGCTTTTATAGGTAAATGAATGCAAGTAGAGACCATACTTCTAAGGGAAACAAACCGGGCTCACATGTGTAGACATCACATTGTCTCCCTAGTGTAAGAAACTGAAGGAGCAAATAAGATCCAAAAGGTCCAGTAGGTATAGTGAAAGGGAAATAACTGCAGAAGGGATGAAAAACCGCAATGGGAGAAAGGAGAAAAGAAGGGAAACAAAAGATGCGTATATATAACAAGATAGCCAAGATCACTGGACTACTAATTTCCATTAGTTCATGGAAAGGAACAGTTAGTGCTTATATTATTTATTATTATTGATCAGTATTTCATGCCTATATCTGATAATCTGAGCAACTACTTTGAAGATGACAGTATGCAGTATTATAACCATTGTTAATTTCCTATCTTGTTTTGAAATTCTGAACCACCTTTATTGTTTTTTCTCTCTAACATAAAAAAGGAAGCAATAAATAGGATGAGGAGGCAGCAGAATGGGAGAAGTTTTTCTAACTGCTCCTCTGACAGAGGTATAATATCTTGAATGTACAAAGAACTAAAAAAAAAATCCTCCCCCAAATAAAAGGGCCAGTCAAAAATTGGGCAAGGGACATGACTAGACACTTCTCAGGTGAAGCACAGATGGCCAGCAAATATATCTGCAGTCACCAGGGAAAATGAAAGCAACACTGAGATTACTCCAGGAAGAATAGATATTATAAAAAAAAAAGCCAACAATAACAAATTCTGGGGAATCTATGGGGAAAAATAAACCCTTCTACATTGTTAGTGAGAGTGTAAACTGGTATGACCACTGTAGAAAGCAGTATGGAGAGTCCTCAAAAAATTAACCTAGAAATTCTATTCACCCCAGCTATTCCCCTTTCTTAGTATCTTTCCAGAGGATTTAAAGACATCCTGACAGAGATACATATACATCCACATTTAGAGCAGCAAACTCCTAATATATAAAGCTGATAAGTAGCCCATATATCCATTACCAGATGAACGAATAAAGAAAAGTTGTTACTTATATATAATAGAGTACTGCACTGACATAAGAATAAACTTAAGTCATTTGTAGGAAAACAGATGCACCCTGAAACCATGGTAAGTGAAATAAATCGAGACACAGATTTAAATATTGCATAACTTCTTTTATATGAGAAGGCTGACATATAAATCATTTTTTAAAATACAAAATAAAAGACCATGGGAAACAGGAAGATAGATCTTTCTACATGTGGAAAGAGTAAAGACAAAGAGAGGCAGGAGAAAAGGGAATGGTAGGAGAAAATCAGAAATTTTGTCTTGAAGGAAGTGAGACAGGATTGAGAAATGTTTAAAGCATATACATTTAGGCAGGAGCTGGACAAATGGAAGAGGATGAAAATATTGTCTAGATGATATATTTAATTGATCCTCTGAAGTTCTTGACCATGTGAAACACATTGGTGGGATCCTGAGCACTGTATGAACAGTTGACTTCCTATAAGAGGAGAAACTCTTTTTCCTTATGCTAGGAAGCACAGGTGGGTATGCTTGTAGGCAGTTAGTAGGTTTGGTGGTAGGAAGCGAAAGAGTTCTTTCTGATGCTACTCCTGTCCTATGTGAATGAATAAATGCTCCACATGTCTGGTCATCAGTGAATTGCAAATTAGTTTACAAGGGGAAAAGGGCCCTGGGAGAATAACAGGATGCATCCCTAAAATGTCATGACTAGGGTGACACAGATGGTTGGGTGTCGCCACATGTCTGGTTGAGATGACACCAGTTCCCAAGGCATCTACCTGTCTGTCTTTCTCTGTCTCTCAGCATTCCTAATAAAGGCTGAGAGAGGTGTATTGTAGGATGCATCTGCAGCTGGAATGAGGTGAACAGATCCATCTGGAGATGAATAAGGGAGAGGTGGTGAACAAGGAAACTAGTGTTGAGCAGGGCAGCCTCCAAGTGACAGAGCACGTTCTCTAACGTAGGCAGGCAGTACAGTGAAGCGGGGGAAAGGTGTGGCTCAGGGCCATTGCTTCGTGATTTCAGAGCTGCCTGTACTTATGCATATGTTTCTTACCAGCACAAGATCATAAGCTCTTAAAAAAATGATCTTTTGAATTCACTTTTATCAATAGCATTCAGCATTAATATCTAACTCATAATAAGCTCTGAGTAAATTATAGTTGAATTGAAAAATGACTTAAAACTCTTTTCTTGAAGCCCAGAGTTAAATTCTTTTGCAGCTTTTGCCAGACAAAACACATCATGTGTCTAATTGTCTCACGTTGGTTCTAATTGCTCTGTTTCACTTTGCTTTCAACTGGCCTGTTTTCTTACTCTGAGATCTTCCCCATTAATTTTCCACAGCATCCTTTCTAATGAACGGAATCTTTCTTTTGGAAGACCTTGTTTGATTGATTCCTATCCGATTTCTCCTCTAGCCACTTTAATTCAGGAGATGAATTCTGATGACCCAGTTGTGCAACAGAAAGCTGTGTACCAGACAGAAAAGAGGCTGAGGCTGATGGAGGACGCCCAGGAGGAGGATGGGTGCAGGACGACTCTGAACAAGACTGTCATAAGCCCTCCACAGGCTGCTGGAAAGGTTTCCTTTGCTGTTATGGACTTGTATAAGTAGAGACATCACAAAGACTTTCTTTGAGGCGATGATTTTCATCTCACAATGTCTAGTAAAGCTAAAAATAGTCATTTGTTTCTCAGATTCACTAGATTTATTTTCTATAAGGGAGTATAAACTCTGACCTTTCCCCCTTGGTCTTTGTGGATCAACAGTACACAGCCTACTGTGTTTGTTTAAATAATGCCCAGGCTTTCTTCCTCCTAAGCTGGTGTGCCGTATTTAAATTATGTCTTTAAGGTAATATAGTCTCTTAATTCCTGTTTCCAACCACTGAGCTACAGCCAAGGTCCCTCAGAATCAAGGCTGCAGGTTCGGCCACATTGTGCCTACACTCTGATCTCCTAATAGAATGCCAGGCCTCTGAATTTTGGACCGTTCAGTGTTGGTATTCAGAAAAAATGGCCCAGCTTCTCATTTCTAAGTGATTTGTGTTCCTAGTTTATGTTTGTGTTTGTCAAAGAGTGGTTTTTGAAATTTGTCTCTTTGCTTTTAATGATTACCCAGGCCGTGCAGAATGCAGATGAAATCAGCCCAGGTAAGAAAAGTGTCTCCCTTCCCATTGTGTATTATTTACTTAGGACCAAAATTCATTGCTCATGACTTCCAGACTCTTAAATTGTAGCCTCAGGGAGAACAAACAACTCATAGACAGAAAGCCACTGATGACCCATTTCTAGTCCTGCTGGTCAGAGCGGGCTGCTTCCAAGGACCCTTCTCTCTGCTGGCACAGCAGCATTTTTATTTGCAGACAGTTTGGTTTGCAAACAGACAGCATTTGACAATTTTTGTTTGCTTGTTTACAAACTCTGCAGCAGGTGACAAACATGATCTTAGCTATCTTTCTTTCGTACAAGAACATGAACATGGCCATGTTTTCCAGAATCCTGGAACAAATTTAATTTTGTGAACTGAGGTACCACTGTCCTCTCTCCTGACCAATCTTCTATAAATCAAATTTTGTTATTCTGTATCATCCAATTTGCTCTTAGCTACTCAGGGGATCTCAATATTCTCTCTCTTGCTCAGCTTTGAGACTCATTATGCTAAACAGAACAAAAAAGTCTCTCTTCAAAGGAAACCTCTTTTAAAAGACATAATTCAGAATTGAAGCATAATCATAGCCATCATGTATAATAATACATCACGCGGATTCTATTTAATGTCAAATTAAGAAAATGTCATTGTCATTGCCTCAGATATGTGTATGCATGCGTGTGCGTGTGTACCTCCATGTACATGCATGAGAAGTGTGGCTGTAAAACTCTAAAGCTCTTTTCTTCTGTTCTTGAGCTAAAGAACTGATTATACTATTCATATTTTTCTCCTAATATTTGAAATTATTCTGCTGTCAGAGGCTTTCTTGGCATCTCTGGAGAAGGATGCAAAGGAGCGAGCCAAGAGAAGACGGGAAAACAAAGTTTTAGCAGATGGTAATTGTCAGTCCTTACTTTTTCATTCCTGTGCTGCTTCAGAATAGAAGAGCACAGAGAGCCTACTGTTAGCACTTGGGGACGCTGGGTGGTTGTCCTCTGATGGGCCTGTGGCTGTGGGACCTGGCCAGGCGGCAGCATCAGTGATCTGCTCTCTGCTCCTCTTGCAATGAGCAGTCAACTTGCTTCTAAAGCATGTGGTGGGCTGAATAGGCCAGATTCCTGCACACTGCTTGGGAAGCCCGGTGAGGTGGAGTGAAGTTGCACCAGCTAGCCCCAGGTATCAATGAGGAAGACCGAAAAATGAAAGAAGAAAAGCAAAGGTAAAAGGAAGGAGAAGAGAAGCAAAACAGAAAGACACATTCTGTGTGTTGGGGTATGTCCATATCTATGTCCAAAGAATACTTTCAGTATTATCTTACACTACCCAGTAGTAGATGTACTGCAGATATGAAGGATTCTACCCATACCTACTGGAAAATTATATGACCTTCCTGTCTTTTTTGTTTTTTCCAGATAAACATCACTTATTTTTCATTGTATGTCAATGAAATTCTTCCTAAAACAATCATTCTCAAGAAAGAAGTATATTAACACTATAGAATGAAAATGTCATATAATTTTTATATTAGTAACTTTTATAATTTTTATATTAGTAAAATTATATAATTTTTGTATTAGTAAATGTCATATAATTTTTATGTTTGTATTAGTAAGCATAAATACACATTCAAAAATAATTATTGCACAATGGGGTTCTGCTCTTATTCTTCAACCACTTCTAAATAAAGCTGTGAAACTCCTGAGCCTTGTTATCCCCCATTTCATCATGTAGGTCCCCCAGTAGGGTCCTCTGTAGACTTCGTCAGTGTCTGATAGAATGTTTATTTATCAAAGCTTTGAACACTAAGTTTAGCATTTTCAATCTCATTGAGAAAATTGAAGAAGCCTCTTAATGTATGATTATTTTCTAGGCATTCTTTTTATGTATTTAGTACAGGATCTCACTACATAGATTGGGCTCATAGTGATCCTCCTGTTTTCAGCCTCCCAAGAGCTGGGATTACAGGCATGAGCCACCATGCCCAGTCTCAATCACCTTCTCAGTGCGCCCCCAGGGGCGGGGCCGGCACGGCATGTGGAGCCGGGGACGAACCCAGTATCTGTGTCTACCTAAGCAAGCGCTTTAGTTCGCTGAGCTACCTGGTTGGCCCAGCGTACGCTTATTTTCTCTGTTCTCGCTGATAGCTGCACAGATTCGTGCATTTTTGGGTCTAAAGAATTTCCGTCTCTTTGATGGACGCACAGCCTCAGTCTCTGTGGCCAGCTCGGAATGATTCTGAACCCTGATGTAGTTACTTCCTCTGAAAGGCTACTCAGAGTGCTTAGAATAGATATGGAGAAAAAATGAAACCAATCCTGAAATATCTGCAGAGAAATGAGTGACAAATCCCATTAAGTCAGTGGCAGCTGACCTTCAGAGGACCTTCAGAGTAGAGTGGAAAAACCAAGGGGCTGCAATCTGGAAGACGTTTTTGCTCTGTGCTGAGCACTCACCTGTGTGACTTTTATTCTCATAGCCCTAAAAGAAAAGGGGAACAAAGCGTTTGCCACAGGTGACTATGAAACAGCCATTGCGAACTACAGCGAGGGCTTGGACAAAATGAAGGATATGAAAGTTCTGTACACCAACAGAGCCCAGGTCAGTGAACCACCTGTGTGTGTCCACTAAACTTGTGAAAATGTAAACAAGATCAGGTGTCAGCACTGGTGGGCTGGGAAATATTTACCTACTGGCTCATGTTGAGTGTAGGGGGAACATCCTTGTGTATAGTGCATACCCATTTCCATGACGTAGAAAATCCCACCATGTTCTGACTGCAAGCTTCCAAGGTAATCACTGAGGGAGGATGTGGGAAGAGCCACACGTAGCTAACGTTCTTCATGGCCTAAGTGAGCTGAAGCATAGCACTCATGACAGCCAGGTACTTTGCCATGTCTGTAAGGAGAACGTCTGGAGTAAAACAACCCTCAAGCCCTTGGATTCAGCCACTCCTTAGTTGTCCAGCTTCTTTCTTGGTGATGGTCTATACTCTTAAAGGCTATTCTCTGTAGAAGTCACTTTCCTGTTGCTGTCACAGAATACCTGGCATACATAACTTAAAGGAAAAACACACTCATTTTGGCTTATGGTTTCAGACCATGGCGGGCCTGCTCCATGGCAGAAAGGTGTGGTAAAGAAAGCCTTTCATCTCATGGCAGCTGGGAAGCAGAGAGAAGAAAGGAGCTGGAAAGAGAGGAAGGGTCAGGAATACCCTCCCAAATTATGTGCCCAGTGCCCTCCCTCCTGCCAGCCCATTCAGTTAAGAGTTTATCAGTGGATTAATCCATTGATGAGATTAGAGCCCAGATGATCTTATCACCTTCCAAAAGTTCTACTTCTGAACACATAAGCCATTTGGGAAGATAGATAGATAGATAGATAGATAGATAGATAGATAGATAGATAGATGATAGATAGATAGATAGATAGATAGATAGATAGATAGATAGATACAATATATGGATATAATAAAAGCATAACATTCTCCTTATAGTTTCTTTGTCATTTATCAGTCCGTCCATATGATTAAGATCCTGTGACTGGGATCAGATGAACTGATTTCTCAAATGTGGAGTTTCGAGAAGCCCTTTCAGCATAGTTGTATACGATATGGGGCTCCAGTTTCCCATCATGCCAAGCAAAACCCACTGCCCAGATGTTTATTAGCTGCTGCTTAGTGAAGGTACATGGTTGATAGTTCTCAGTTGAAACAAGAGTGTCACCTATGACCTTATCTTTGAAAAGTAGGTGATTTTTTGTGCCCTATTGGTATCTGAAGAACTGGCAGATCTGTAGACATGATTGTCTGAGGGTGAGGACCTGTCAGGAAGACCTGTGTGAGATGGACTTGATGCTGCATCATTTACCAAAGGAAGAGGCTGCTGACTGCGGAGGCCCTGTCAGCTCCAGTCTCTGTCACGCGGGGTTAACTGTCTGGCTGCAAGCACTAAAGGAGAGCATCACAAGCAAGAAACACCCCCTTAAGAGGCTGGTGAGCCCAGGGAGTGACAGCGATTCAGTCATAAATAGATTCAAGCACAGCAGAACCTCATTAATGTGGCACTTTGAATGCACCCAACTAGGGCTGAGGTACATGTGCCCACCCCCATTTGTCAGCGACATTTCCTACAAGGAAGTAAATTAGCAGTGAGATGCTCAGAGGTCAATTTGCCAGTGTGCATCTTACCTCCCTAATAAGATATATAAATTAAACTTTTTGAGGGCAAAAACTGCTTTACTTTTCCTCTAATGCTCCGGGGGTAGGAGATGGTCAATAAATCCTTGCTATGCTACATCACGTTGGAGACATAATAAGTTTATTTAAAGAACTGAATTTCTGCTGACTGAATTCAGAAGAATCATTTAGGTGTAAGTAGTTTCTGTAATATTTATATTTGCTTATTTATCACCAAATTTGATCTACAATTTGGTGCCTAAAACAGTAGCTCTACCTGTCATGGCTTGCTCAGTCTGGTTCCTTGGAGTCAAAAGCAATAAAATTGAATTGCTTTTAGAATGTTCTGTAATTCAGACTTCTACTTCAGATTGCCCGTATCCTGATTCATGTAAATTAGTTATGTTTTTACTGTACGCAATTTTAAGCAGCTCTGTGATTCGCCCTGAAGAATCACATTAAGAATGAATGTGGATAAATATAAGTAAATGCCATGAAAGGCTTTGGGGAAGCAATTTCCCCCAGTTTTCCCAAAGAGAAAGCTTATTCTGAGACAAAATGCAAAATGTGCTGCCTGGTGTTACGAGTCATTTGAACCACTGACTATTTTTAAAATGCCTCCCCTGTTTGCATGCGGTGATAGAAAACACTTAATAAGGACCCTGTGAATTGAGTGCTGTCTGCTAAAGAAAAAAAGTCTACCCTTTCATCATTTTGTTTTTCTCCTGGAGCTAATGTTATGATCAATAGATTGCCAGTGTAATTTAGATAAATCTAGAGTTTAATTACCATTTGGAAAAAATGCTCTTCTGAGAATGTAGGAAAGCAAAAAAGAATGGAGAAGTTACAGGGTGTGAAATGCAACCCCTGGGGAACAGGCAGAAACAGAAAAAGGGAAAAGCTGGTGTAGAGAAAGTGTTGAATCACAGTGCCTCAGAACCCTGGCGGCAGTTGTCAGGAAGGATGCTGACTTCTTCCTCTCATTTTCTGACTGTCACCTGCAACACAGGACCCCAGAGGAAGGGATGGTTCTTCGTAAAACAGACATCTCAAAGCTTGTCTTCTTCAGTTAATTCAGAGCCTGAGTTAATGAAGGCACCACCTCTTAGCTCACTTACTATACCGGCACAGAGACACACAGCAGAAAGTCCTAAGCTGCCTGTTGCTTGCTCCCTCCTCACTTTGGTGGAATGCTTAGATTCCCCATGAATTATAACACCTACCCCATGATTGACTTGTCCAAGTAAATATCTCATCTCACTGTTAAGAGCATCAAGGGCCTTGGTACAAGGCTGTGTGTGGTGTTGGCTCTGTTACTGGTGGCCCATGGAACCCTGGAGAAGGTACTTACCCTCCTGGTACTTGGTTTGCCTTTCTTACATGGAATGATCATTTCTGCTTCTTCAGAAACTTTCCAAAAGAAGAGGGCTTAGATTCTCAGTAAGAATTTGTTGGACACTTATCATAGCCAGTAACTTTAAGAAGGTTATAGTAGGGACTGTGCTTATCTTTAAATAGCCTTTCATTTGTGTGCGTGCGTGCGTGTGTGTGTGTGTGTGTGTGTGTGTGTGTGTTGGAAGCTTTCCTTGAAGAAAATGCTCAAGCCTATTGAGTTTTTGTTGTTATTTAGATCTAGTATGTCCCCCAGAAGTCTGTGTAGTTAGAGGTGAAACTTTTGGGAAAAGATTAGGTCATGGGGACACTACGCTCAGCAGTGGATTAATTCACTGATAAATTGATAACTGAATGTGCTATTAGCAAATGGGGCCTAATTGAGGGAAATGGCCAATTTGGGGTATGATCAGCAAGGCTGTGTTCTTGTCCCTGGCTTCTGTCTGTCTGTCTGTCTGTCCGTCCGTCCGTCTGTCTGTCTGTCTGTCTGTCTGTCTGTCTGTCTGTCTGTCTGTCTGTCTCCTTCCTGGGAATCATGGAGGAAGTACCTTTCTTCTGCTCTGTCTGTCTTTCATACTCTTGGAATTCGCCAACCATGTACTGAGCCCTCTAACTGTGAGCCAAAACAAACCTTCCCCTTTGTCAGTTGAGGATGTCAGATATCTTGTCCTGACGATGAGATAGTGACTAATCAACTCAAAATTCCAAGTTGATTTTTGATTTTCAAGATTTTCCCCAATTTGAGGGGATTCCCAAAGCCTACTCAGACATTCAGTTTTAAGGGCTCATAGTGACGGCCCCTGGAAAACTATTTCTGTATTTCTTCTTTTGTGCTGGAAATAAGAGGTCGGAGCAGAACTTTTTCATCGTCTATTTTTGGTAACATTACTGAGACATAATTCATACACCATACAATTCACTCACTTAAAGAGTATAATTACTGGGCTTTAGTATAATCACAAAGTTAGGCAAATCACAATCAATTCTGAACATTTTATCACCCATACTTATCTTAGTCACTTTCTTACTTAGTCACTTAGTCACTTAGTCAGTTTCTAACACTGGCATCTCAGAGGAGGAGAGCTTTATTTTGGCTTGATGACCCAGTAACCTCAGTCCTTGCACTGTCATCTGGCTGCAAGGCAGGCCAGCGTGGCAGAGGAGAGCATCCCCTGGATGGTAGAGAAAGAGCAGTGGGCATCAAGGAGGGAGCCAGGGAAAGAGAGAAAGCCTTCTAGGTCGCACTCCCTATGACCCCCTCTTTCACTCAGGCCCACCTTCTAATAGCAAGTTATGTACAAGCCTCCATCATCCAGTTATCTTCCCAGACCCCCACCTATGAGATCCCGAGGCTCTAGGGGGAAATCTAGATTTTTTTTTTCAGAACTGGGGATTGAATTTAGGCCCTTGTGCTTGCCAGGGAAGCACTTATCCACTGAGCCATCTCCCCAGCCCAGAACATCTAGATTTAAACCATGACAATACTCTCCAGCTGTCACCTTCTAAACCTCTCATTTCCCCACCCTGACTCCCAGCCCTAGACAACCACTAATCTACTTTCTATTCCTACACATTTGCCTATTTTGGACATTTCATATAAATTAAATCATACAATATTTATCACTTTGTTTCTGATTTCTTTTATTTAGCATAATGTTTTCAAGGTTCACCCATGTCATAGTATATATAAGTTTTTTGTTTCTTTCTCTTGCTGAACATCCCTCCATTGTATGGCCTGCTACATTTTAGTTACCCACCAGTTGAAAGGCATTTGGATTGTTTCTGTTGTTTGACTGTTAAAAGTAATTCAGCTATGAAGATTCATGTACAAGTTATTGTATGTACGTAAGCTTACTATTTTCTTTGTATATATCTAGAAACAGAATTGCTGGGTGTTATGGTTGTATCTAGTTGTCCCCCCAAAGCCTCATGTGGTTATGGGCCGGGATTCTAGAGTTTGTAATTAATTCCTGATATAGTGCTGGGAGTATGGGTGTGAGCACTGTACCCAGCCTGGGGCAGATAGCCTGAATGCAATGTGAGGGAGACAGACTTGCTCCCTGTAGCCACCATTGCCACTGCATCTGCCATTTTGCTCTTGCTGTATTGCTGTTTTCCACCACCATGAACTGCTGCCGTCTGCCATGTGCCAGTCTGCCTGAGATCCAGCTGAGTATGGACCGAAACCTCCACCAACTGTGAGCTAAATAAGCTTTCTTCCTTAATTTTGGGTGTTGAGTATTTTGTCCCAAATCCTGAGTCACATTGGCAACTCTATTTTAACTTTTGAGGCACCGGCAGACTGAGTTCACTTTATATTCCTTCCGGCAGTTCCATATCCTTTCCAATACTTGTTACCATCTTCTTTTTTCAATTCCCTTTATCATCTGGCATCCTGGAACATTCACAGCAGATTATGTCCTTAGCTTAATTAGCTCTTCCTTTGTAGGGATGATGAGTGTGCAGAGTACTCTGTTTTTTCCTTCTAATCCTTCTTTGTTATGCACTGTGGCCTGGGGCTCACCTAGTGCTTGGCTTGTGCTTTGGCTTCCTAGTCCTCTTGCCTCCCTTTCGGTTCTGCCAGTGAGATCAAAAGAAAGGTGAAAGCAAGCCTTTGGTGTTTATCCTCCTGGCTTTCAGTTCTAGCAAAGCCTTTAGGTCACTTGAATCAGCTCTTTCACACAGCAGCCACCCCCAGCTTTCCTTGTTGCTCTTTTTCCTACTCTATCAATGCTAGCCAGGTGCTGTCAGCCCTAGGACTCTGTGACATCCCTCATCTGCCCAAAGTCCCATCCTCCTTACCTTGTAAGCAGCTCCCTTGCCAAATTCTCTCCACCTTGCCCATGTGAGTGTGGCATCTCTTTGCTGCTAGGACCCTGCCTGACTCCTTGTCACCATGCTGCTGTGTGACTGCTCTCTGCACTGACAAAAGGCCACTTGCTGCAGAATGGGGTCTGAATGTCAGCTCTCTGTGTCGTTGCAGGCTTACATAAAGCTTGGGGAGTACCAGAAGGCCCTGGTAGATTGTGACTGGGCACTGAAGGTAAGACAGTATTCCTTTCCCACATGTCAGTGTTGTTGGGTCAGATGTCTCAGTCCTAAAATGACTAGGAGTGAGTTGACATTGTATCACAGTAGGAAAGGGTATAGGCTCTGCAACACTGCCTCACTATCTTCATCTGTCAAATGGGATGGAATAGAATTGTTATGCGTCTCATGGTAATTCACATAAGGTACCTAGTCCATAATGGTAAGCACTCCAGAGAAGCTCTGTTACTGTTGTCTCAAGGTTTTATGTTGCAGTAGCTTGATTTTTTTCACCACAGTGTTAACAGATGCTTTGCTCTGTGCCATAGTGGAAGAGCTCCCGTCTCTAAAGCCCGCAGCGGGAGCTTGTTTTTGCAGTGTTGTCATTCTCGCCAGCGTGTGCTTTCCTCCTCCACCTCCAGCAATTTAGAAGTATACTGTAACATCCTCTATTTATAGAGGAATAATCAGAATCAGCAGAAAGAACCCCCATTGCTCCACATTGCCCGGGCCTCGGGCCGCAGCACAGTGCCCCCTGCATGGTATTTTCCCCCCAAATCGGCCAAAATAGATGATCAAAGGTGCATGGAAAGTAAAGAACACTCATTTTTCACATTGCCATGATCATTTGTTAGGGACATTCTTTCAAAGGACTAAATAGCTAACACTTAATCCACACTCCTCTGTGTTCATTTGCTGCAGGGGTGTTCGAAATAACCTAGTGCTTCACAGACTTCTCCACTAAGTGCTGCCAACTGTAGAAAAAAGTGAGCATGAAGGAGCCCTTTCGGGGTCCAGAAAGACGAAACATGAAATTCCTCTTAAGACACATGGTTTATCTGAAAAGTTCTTCTGAATTTTATATGATACCCTGTGAAGTTTGTATCTTTGCTTTAATGTAGCACTTTTATTTTAAACAACTTAACAACCATGAGAAATGGAGGTGCTGGGAGAATTGCAGTGCTGTGTTTTTGATTCCCCAGGGCAGCAAACCCAGCCTGGCCTCATGAGCGTGGCCTACGATGTCAAGAGCACGCCCTTACAGCGACCTACAGGCCACATCTACAGGCTCATTTTTTATTGAGGAAGAAAAGAAAGTAGGGCTGACTTAGCAAGTCACCTTCCTCATGATGGCTGTCAAACACAGGAGTTCCTCCAAAAAGTGACATTTAGAGCATCTTACCTCTTTCTCCCTTCGCTTGATTATACTGAGTAGGTCTTTAAGTTAGAGACTCGCCCAAAGCGATGGCCACATCACGTCTTCACATCTCCAGATCCCCTAACGTACTCCATCAACTGATTTGATCTTGATTTCTTGGTCTAGCATTATTCTGTAAGAGGAGAGAGGCAAGGCCATTTGGCTTGAGTGTTCCAACAGTAACAGCACAAACCACCCTTGTTTCCTGCCCTCAGCATCCTTATCAGTTCTCTTCAGCACTGCGAGCTTTTTGGCAAGGAAGCCTCTGATATAATTAAATAACTTAACACAGGATCACAAAGCTAATGTTTGTCTTACTGTTAGCCTGTGCTCTTAGTCACAGCCTCTCCCTTGAAACCTTTAACTTCATAATCTCCGAGTATGGAGCTCAGATCTGCAGAGGAAACAGAATGCCTTTGGATGCTCTCCAAGAGCTTCTGCTGTTGGACCAGACTGAAGCGGAAGCCCACCGTGGCCGACCCAGCCTAGTACACTGGCCTGTTCCCAAACGTTCACCGAAGCACGGTGTAATTAATGGTGAAGGCAACGCAAAGCAGGCCCAGTGGAGCTGACATTAAAAAATGCTGACACTCAGCAGCCAATCTTATTAAATGCCCAGCAAGGCTCCCAGCTAAAGAGGTTTGGGTAAACACTGGGAGGAATAGGGAAATTTGCACAAGGAGTTCTAAAATCCAGTGATAATAAGTTCTATGCTGAAGTCTTGAACTCAAAGAAAAAGTTTTGCTCGCTTTAAAATATCAGCAGTGAACACCACTGACACTCCATAATTAATAGCACTAGTACCTTCATGCCAGTGTAATATTTTTGACACCTTTGAATTGGTAGAGAAAAGCCTATGTGATGATATTTCAAGAGTGATGCCCCTTGTCAAGGAAGATAGGGCAGCGAAGCTGGTTTCAATTAGGATCAGACCCATTTGTTGCTTGGCCGAATGCTTCCTGGGCAGCAAAGTGCATCTTGCCCTGTAGGCTGGCTCCACTTAAGGGGAACCTGGTTTTCACTCAAGAAAATCTTACTGAGTTATGTCAGATGCTCAAAGGAGAATGGGACCAGTAGAGAGAAAATCCATCAGCAACCTTTTATGTGGGTGAGGAGGACGGTGAGGTCGCAGCTGCCCACACCTCCCGAATAGCACGGTAGGCACGGCTGAGCCTCCTGTGGGCTTCGGGTGCTCTGTGGGTATATGGCCCTCCTGAGCTGACCTGCTGGAGTTCCCCATTTTCTCTATGGCCCTTCTCTCCTGCTTCCTCTATTTCATCTCTGGGGAATTGTCAGGCTAGAGAGCCTGCTTTCTGCTTTTCTGCCTTCTCCCAAAACTCTCCTCTCCTCTCATGGGTTTAGTTCTTATCTCTACACATGCCTCTCACATCTCTTCCCTAGCCTCCACCATATGCCTTCCCCTGGCTCCAGAGCTGCATCTCAGCCTCCTCCTACAGGCTCTCATTTGATTGCTTGCCATCATCCGACACTCAGCGTGTCAGACATGAACTCTCATCTCCTCCATGCCCTGCCATCTCTGACCTGTCTTCTTTCTGTCAGTGCCCACTCTGTCTTTTCCTGGCATCCACACCCTGGGCCTTGACATCACATCCTCCTTCACCCTTATCGCTTATGTTTAGCTGGTGCTGGTCTTTTTGGGGCCGTAGCTCTAGTGCCTGTACTTCCTTCTGCTCCCACTGTCACCAGGACTTCAGGCATCAGCCCGTGGTCCAAGTGACTGTCTGGTTTCCTTGCTCAACTCCCAGCTCTTCCTACTGTAGTTAGTCTGCATCAGCCTCTATACTGGCTTGCCTCCACACTGCTGTTGATAACACCCTTCTCTTGCCTGGCACTCCAGGCCTCCGTGTGAGTAAGGCCTAGCTCCTCCCATCCGGCTGCTGCTTCCCACCATCCACAGCTGCCCCCAGCCGGGCCAGCCACAACAGGGACCTTTCTCACCCCTCCCCGCGCCGCTCATCACTCCTCCCATCCCTCAGGATCTAGCACATACACCTCCACTTTTGCATGCCCTCTTTTAATTGCCAGGCGCTTTAGTCCACTGAGCTACCTGGCTGGCCCTGCATGCCCTCTTTTAGGCTGCATCTCTTTAGAAGACACTTCTTTCTAGCAAACTTTTGCGATAACATCCCCTACAATGTCTACATACCTTTTTCCTATAGGATATTTTTGAAAGGAATGTAGTATTATTTAAACCCTTGGTTCCTGGAATTAAATGACCAGATTTCAAATTCCAGCTCTTCCACGAACTATTCATGTGATCTTCAATCACATGAAGCTCTCCAGCTCTAGTTTCTTCATCTGTAATCATAATGTGTTAGTCGCCATAAGCCTTTTATGAGGTTGTCCATACAAACCCTTAAGTTCAGCACCTAGCACATGAAGTGGACTGAACAATCGCGCACTATATACTCCTGCTCCTACTACGACCATCACTTAGCATTAAGTCAGGAAATAGCATGAACCAAAGTGTGCCCATCTGGATACCCTGCTAACATCCCACTTCTGGTGAAGGGCAGGATAAAGAGTCACTCAGGACATGTTAGACTTCTGAGCTTGGTCTCCTTACGTCTGAATTCTAAAAAACCCCTGACCAGGTACGGGGCCTTGCATCTAAAAGAGCTTCCTTAAGGGTTACTTAGCTGGCTGTCCTGCATCTTCATGGACGTCTCCACGCCCTGTCGTTTCCCTCAGTTACAGCAATCAGGCTCAGTCGCCAGGTGCCCCCTGATGCCCTGTGTGAATAATACAGTCTGAGTGACGAGTGTCAATCCCACCTTTTGGAAGGGGCTTCTGATCTAAAGTGATAAGAATGTAAGATCCCAGTGTACATGTGGTTCATTTGCGGGTGGGAACCTCCTTGGCCCACGAAGGTGTGCTGGTAACCACAGCTGCTTGCTTGCCCAGGATCAATTCACTGTCTCGTAACAAACCCGCAGTTCTCCAGTGAAGATGCACAGTGGCATGGCCTGGAGAGCTAAAAAATAAAAAATTATTCCTAGACTCTACCCAACTTAATTGATATAAGGTCGGGATTTTCATAAGCATCCTGGGCAATTCTAATATTCATCAATGTTAAGAACTCTTCTGAAGTAAAGATTTCTGGTTTGCTTCTTCGGTGAGTCCCATTAAATCCAACTGACAACTGGCAGGAGTCATCCATGTGGCAGGGAGCTTAGGTGCACAGCCAGGCTCCTCCCCAGCATCATTTAGTTTTGCTACAGATGCGCACAGAGAAGCTGCCATTGTCAACTCTGGTAGCTGTGCTAGAAAGCAAAGCCCTGGCCTCACTCTGTCAGGGAGGCAGCTAGGGCAGAGCCTAATGACTGCAAATCTTCTGCAATGTCTGATCAGTTATTCTCTTTTATGCAGTGTGATGAAAAATGCACAAAAGCGTATTTCCACATGGGAAGAGCCCACCTGGCTCTGAAGAACTACAGCGTGGTGAGTTCTTAAAGGGAGTCAATGCTCGACTGACCACCGAGTATGACTCTGGATGGCTCCAGAGGAGGACCCTGGCCCTCCCAGTTGGTTTGATATAATTTTCCCTTCAGTATTCTCCAAGGTAAATCTCAGGATATTGGTGTCCCCAGGTACAACACTGCCAGATACAGGACTTTCTTCAGCAGCATTTTCTACCATTGTTTATCCACCTCTGGAAAGAAAAGTCAAGGAAAGAGGGAAAATGAAATTCATTTGTAATCTCATCACCCCGAAATAGCAGCCCAAATATATATAT